TGTTCTAAGCAAAGGCCTCGGAGCCCGAAGCTGCAAGGAGGGGGCTGTGGTGATTCCCAAGCCAAGCGGGTTAAGTCCCCACCCCCACCAGCATGGCCGGCAGGGGTTTCTTCCCCTCTGGGAATTGCCAGGGCACAGCCAGGGAGCGTCCTCTAAACTGTCCTTGAGGACTGGGCACCGGAGGGGCACTGCCAGCCAGAATGGTGCTCGCTCGCTCGCTCGGGAGGGCGCAGAGTGGGAGAAGGCAGGCGAGCGCCTCCGGAGGCATGCCTGTGGCCACAGATGGGCTCCGTGGCTGAAGGGGCAGTGCTGGCCGGCCGGCCGGAGTAGCTGCTTTGCTCCAGCTCCGCAGAAGGGGGTGAGGAACAGGCCTGAGCAGGAGCTGGCGTCCCGGGCAGGCCTCTCTCCGTAGCTCCTCTGATGGAAACAGATTGTCCCTTGCACTGGCCTTGGAATTTGTCAGGGGAGGGGGCCTGCCACTGTGCTGAGAGTCCTTGGAATGAAAGGAGGGCCAGCCTGAGGCCCTAGGGAGGACGAGGAGGAGCGGAGAGCGGATTCCCAAGGGCTCCTTGGTGCCAGCCAGCGGGCAGGACGGGCCCGAGCAGAGAGGATCCTGAGTTCTGTCTCTCAGGCTGGACCACAGGGCCCAGACGGGAAGCCAGGAAGACCCCACACAACTCTGCAGACCTGAGTCCTAGCCCTGTCGCCTGCCTCCCGCCTCCCGGTCTCTGCTCCCTGGGCACTGGTCGGTAGGACCAAGGAGCCACCCCCACCATCACCCTGGGCTCTCTTCCCGCCCCCCTTTCCATTTGGCTCTGGTTGGAGGAAGCAAGGTAGTTTTAGTGAAAAGAAAGTAAAAATATTTCAAATTAAAAAAAAAAAATTCCAGGCCCAAATTGTGCAAAATCGAGTGTAAAATTGACCACTCCCTCTGTTGTCAGCTTTAAACAAAGGGGCAGCCGCCGCTGGGACAGGACCTTGTGTCTCAGTGGCCGCAGGCTCGCTTGGTGGGGGTGTGGCCAGGACAATACAATGGGGGTGGGCAGGGGGACTTTGGGCCTGTTTTCTCATCAGTACAAAAAGCAGTGTGCAAACCTAGTATCTAAACATAGTGTCACCCCACGGGGCTGTTGTGAAGATGAAATAAGATAGATTTGTTGCCCTCATAGGACTGTGCATGGGTAAGGAGTTTGGATGGTTAAATGTCTTCACTCCTTTGGGCATAGAAAGTCCAGGGCACTCCTGGAGAGCCTTGCGCCTGGGTGAGGAGCGGGACTTTAGGCAGATCCCCTCCCCACCACTCCCCCCTCCCCTGATGAGTGTTTTCTGAGCCCAGTCAGAGGGTCAGAGGCTGTGCCCTGCCCATTGAATGCATATTCCCAGAGTGCCTGAGGCCTTGTCCTCCGCATCCGCCCAGCCCCTCTGCCAAGCTTTGCCAGGCTCATCCACGTAGAACTCCCTTTGGACCAGCATCCCCACAACGGACGCCCCAGTCTGTTTTGACTGATTTCAAGGTGCCTTAAGGACGACAGGGACTTGAGAAGCAAGCTGTGAGCCCAGCCTTCCGAGTGCTGCAGGCAGGAGCTGAAGCCTAGGTGGGTGCTCTGGGCCCCCTGGGAAAGGGCTGTAGGCAGAGAGTGTCCATGAGTTCCTGGGACATTAGCTACAGCCGTCCTGGAGGGAGAGGGATGCTCAGAGGGGAACAGGCAGATCATTCTCAGGCCAGAGGGAGGAAAATATTCTGTCTTCGAGCCACTCCTGCTCCCAGAGCCAGCTTTGGGCCAGTCCACAAGGGGCCAGTCGCACTCTTCTGACCAAAGGTGAAGTTGGGTGATGCTTGATGGGACTTGAGGTCAGTCTGGGATCAGGGGTAGGGCCAACCTGGGACCAGGATTAAGCGTCAGTGTAAGAGTAGGCTCAGGGTCATAGGTAAGACTAAGGACTAGATCAGGGCTCAGTTTGGGGCCAGGGTCAAACGTCCCTGTGGTCAATGAAAGAATGTCCTCTGACTGCGAAGATGGCTGCTGACCCTTCTGTGTCCCAGCCCCTCCAAATGAGAACCTGTTCCACAGCCCAGCATTCCTACTCGCCAAGACATGGCTTTCCCTCTTTGTTTCCTAAGGGCTCTTGGGATCTGAGCAGAGAAATGGTTCCAATTAGGAAATCCAGCAGCTATTGCTGTGAGGCCATGCTGGCCCTGTGGACATTCCCCGAGACCCCACTTGGTGGCTGGGCAATAAGGACTCAGACTGCCTTCCCCAGGCCCCATCCCACGCCCATTGCACACCCGCCCATTAGAGGATGGACGTGCACAAAAGCCGTTCCCTGGATGTGGCGGAGGGGGAGAAGGCAGTGCATCCAGGGAGACTTCTGGGGCTGTGCTCCCGCAGAGCAGGCACCTCTTGTGGACTCCGGTAGTTGCTGGCTGGAAGGCAGCTATGACTTGAATTTATTGACAATGATTCTCTAAGTAGGCGTCCTTCCTCTGTGTGTGTGTGCTCAGTATTTGCCTGTGCACCTGTCTGCATCGCTACAAGGCTGTGTGCCCCTGCTTTCCGTGGTGCCTGTCTTCACAGGTGGGTTTCGCAGGGTCCTCTTGCCCATTTCACCACCTCAGGGCCAGGACCATGTCTGGGGGTGGTGATGGGGTGGAGATCAGGTTGGATGCGTAGGGCTCTCCAAAGCAACAGAGCCTCAGCAATCTCTCCCAGCCGCATTATCACCAGCCTCGTCCCTACACTGCGGATGGGTGGCCTGGCCTGGCCACTCCTGATTGCCCAGTCCAGAGCTGACTGTCCAGTGAAACTTCCCTGTTGTGAGAATGTGCCCCAGCCCTCTATTTCTGGGTCCACAGTGGTCCTGACAGGGTCTCTGTGAGTCCTGAGCTCCAAGTTGCCTGGGGTGGAAGTCTGAGCCCTTTGGGAGTCTACAAGCAGGCCCTCTAGGGGCGATCTCCCACAGAGAGGAGACGGAGGGAAGGGGAGCAGGAATAGCTTCCCTCTGCATCTGTTGTACTATAACTGTCCACCAGGTGGGGTTCCAGGGCAGAGAGTGAGAGTCGCGATGACCCAGCGCTAGAAGCCAGCGAGCAGCTTTAAAATCTGCGCCCATCCGCAGCAGCTACAGAGAGGGACAGCACACAGGTTCGCACCTGAGACGCTCGCACACGTCCTCTCCCAGTGAACTCGAAAACCGAACTCGTATTGGGGGCACGGGAGGTTTCCAAAGGGGAGTCTAGTTTCCTTTACACACACACCGTTCTAAACTGAAGGTGGGATAGCAAGTCCTCCGCTCTGGGAGTGCAAAAGTGACAGACAGAGACTAGGGGCTGGGAGAGTAGGACGCGCGGGAGAGGGCGAGCCAGGCACACTCGCTAGATGATGGCCGGGTTGGCACGCACCGCTCCATGTGTCCTAGACACGCTGGAGGAGAGGCCAGATGACAGACGGATGCAAGGATGCACAGACACACATACCACAGAGAGCACGCAGACCCTGAGGCACACCACAGCTCCCCGACTCAGGGGCACACGCGCGCGCGCGCACGCGCCTGTACACACACACAC